GTGAGAATTGTCACGTGATCTCGATGACGCAACAATATCAAGAGTTTATTTTGTATTTGCTTTATTTTTCATTGTTAAATGATAATTAATTATTGAATTGCAATTCATTGTTGAAAGGTTGTGACGTCTGTGTTATATGTAAATACTACAGGAGCAAGAGAAGGTTACAATACTCTTTGATCAGAAGGTCATATGATATCTCGAGGTTATAACCTACTTTACGTTTCAGTAGGAATGACCAACAGTGACGTAGGTCTTGATAGGTGACGTACAAGTCTTGAGAATGTAACGCTGTAGAACTTGGGATATAATACTATGACCTCTTAGTTTGCTCTCTCTTTCTCACGTTCAAGCCCTCAGTTTGGTGAGTGAAGTTTAAGTTCTTTCATTGTAATGTTTAACCTGTAACGTTAAAATTTTTTTTTGTTAAACATCTTGATAAGTTCTTTGAGGGATAGTATTAAATAATTTTTATGTAATACTATGATCTCTTAGTTAACTCTCTATCTCTCTCAAATTCAAGCCATCGGTTTGATAAATGAAGTTTAAGTCCTTTCTGTAAATGATGATACTATCATAAAGTTTAATGACTAAAGTTACTTAATTCTTAATAAATATTTCAATAAGCTCTAAGAAGAGTTTGTAGATAACTATATAGAAAGGGCGCTGTCATCCGTCCTGTACCCACATTTATTTCAATCATGTTTGTAAGTTTGAATCAAGATTGCCTCACAGCTTTATTGTATATATGTGTTCAGTTTCTTTTTTCATCAAACTTAGTCATTCAGAGGATTCGGAATGACTTCATAATAAATATCTCGTTCAATCTCCTATTATTCTGCGGACTTATCATATTGTTCCAATATAATGAGATTTACCTGAATATACCACATGAATAAAATACGCGTTATACAATCAGTTGTTTAAATAAAACCTAATAAAGGGGAATGAAAAGTTTTTATTAACATTCACACAAATATAATAGTTTTGTTTACAATAGATATATTAGTAAATGTTTTAACATATTGTTACGTCTCCGTTTGTTAATTAACTTTCCGTAACTTCGTTCCGACGAGACTTTAGCGACACAAGTTATTTACTTAATAAAACTGGTTTATTCTTTCCGAATACAACTTTACCGATACACTCAACTTCAACAATCGCGCTAAACAAACACTATAACAACGAACGTGCTCAATAATACTTCTGACTGCAGATCAATTACTCACTGTCTACACACACATTACATTACCCTGTCACGTTGTCACCCTCTTTTATATACCCGACTACCCTATATCTAGTAAATACTAGAGCATTCGCCAAAGTACAGGATAGTTCTAAAAACGTGGCGTCACAGTAGTCATGTGACTCGCTGACGCAACAATATGAAAAAAAGAAAGAAAAAAGAACGAGCATTGAAACATAAAATACGTTTGCTTTGAAACTTGACATAAGTCATAAGGTCTCAAAATCCTTCTGTAAACTGGTAACTACTTCAAATATATATCAGTTTTCTGGACAAAAAAGACGACTTTCTATTAAAGTCCAAACACAACACGTACAAAGGTTTTCAAATATTATAACAGAGTAACTGTAAATGAATATACCTAGTGTGAAACTCGCTATTAATTAGATAGGTAATAAAATTGAGGTTATATGTAGTGCAGCTAAATGAGTAAAAGTTTACTCTGTAAATTTACCGATGATCCACCGGGGGACTTTTAGTTGCTATATCTTTATGCTCAGATATTAAGTGTGTGTCTATAGAATTGTTTCTCATTATGTGTCATTTTATTTGTAATAGGTCAAAACATATTTAGAAAAATTAAATTTTCGTTCCAGCCATTAATAAGAGGTATTCGTATTATTTATATTTCTAATCACATTATTAAAATTAACATTTTAAACAATATTTAAGTTCTTTATTCACTAAGATAATTAACTTAGAGGGCAGTCTGTCAAGGTTAACGTCATACCTCGGGTAAATTAATGAGGGATTTCTAGCTTATGCAAGAAGCTATACCGTACTTATTATGAGTTATATGATAAACGGATTTTAATTTAGTTGTGAAATAGGGTATTGACTGGAATAATTCTAAAAAGGTTTGTTGCATAATTTTAAACAAATGTCATTTTACTCCAAAAATTTTTACCATAAGAGAATTATTTATGTATGCGATGTAAATTTCTAAATTGTACTTAACTTTAACAATAACAGTTTAAGTTGTAGTGAAAAGTAGTATAATTTATAAGTCAAGTCCCTTTTAAGTTTGATACTCGAGTGTCAGACTGATTGAAGCCGTGACTTTGCAACGGACGTGTCCATTTGGAAAATTTAAGCTATAAGTTATAAATGTAACGTGACTTGTGAGAAGATTTATAATATGTTATTTAATATTAACAAACAATATATTAACAGTAAATATTTGAATATTAATAATCAATATTATTAATAATACTAGCATATAGGGTGTTGCCTATTGACATGAGTATTGTGTTGCTGTGTTGATCAATTTTGTTGAAAAATTAATATTGGATTATACCTGTAATTAAAATATAAATGTGTTTCTTGTTTTTTTTACTATAGTGTCAGATATCTTGTAAACATTGAAAAGCTATGAATTATTTCTCCTGGGACTGGTAGAACTTCAGAAGCTTCTGTTGTATCTGTTTCTATTTGGATATCTCGCATTCCATGAATATTAAATGTAGCTGTTCAGTTTGACATGTGCATGCACTATTTATAAAATATTCTAAATAAATTTTATTGATGGGAAAAAAGCACACCAGTCAATTAGCTTTTATCTCCAACAGAAAAATGGTTTTGCTAAGGAATGAGTCTAAATATAGATTGGGATGGCTGGATGGAGCTGTAAAAAATAGTTTATTTGTGGTATTTATTGGAAACATGTGATGCTCACATTCTTTCCAAATTTATGTCTTTTTTTTTTTTTTTAGTTCACTGGCCATTATATAGGTAAGCATTAGATTTGAGGGAAGAAAAAAAGGGATGTAGGAAAAGTTACTAAATTATTTATTAACTTCAGAAGACGTACTCCTATTATTTTAAACTTATTGCCATTGTTAATAAATTTTTCAAGCATATGTATTTTACATGTGGATTATGAAGGTACCTTTAAGTCTTCTATGCTTCAGAGAAAGGAAATCCATATCTTTAGGTTGATTTTCATTGCTTATAGTTTTGAAATAGATGTGATTTTAGAAACCAGTCTCTATAATGTTTAAAGCATTTTAAGAAATGTAAGGAAAAAAAACATGGTGAAAGAAGGTCGTTAAGGCAATCAAGGTCATCCTGCCAGAAAAGGAAAAGAAAACTATAATAATCTGTTATTATAAGAACGTTAAGTTATTGGAAAGGTTCAAATTAGGACCACTATATGATATATGGGATGGAAAGGCTGTCACATAAGGACACATTAAGATCTCCGAAATTTTCTCTTGAAAAAAGAAGAGTTGGAGGGGACACAAATATAATTTTTGGCAGGATAGGAGTCAACTTCACTTAGTTTTTTCTCACAGTGTGGCTGACCTTTAGTATGGGTTGCTTTCAGTTGTGGTGGATGCAGTACATTTAAGGGAGTGCTCGATAAATATTTGAATGATAAAGTTTAATTTGGTTTAGTGGATGGGGCAGCCTTGCTGGACCTTGTCCTTATATTTTATGTTAAGCATGATAAAAGATGTAAAATGATGCATTTTTCTCAGCCTACATAGATTTGAAATACTAATTTAATGTTATAATGTTTTTCATCTATTCTCTGCACATAATTTTTTTGCTTCTTTAACCTTAATTTAGAAATATAATGCTAATTATGTTAAATTTGTAATGATATATAACATAATTATCTGAGTCTTATATGATCAATGTTTGAAATACATGTGGTGTATTAAAGATTTTACTTTCCTTATTAACAAGGCTAGATTTGAGCAACTAATATAATAACATTTTAATAAAACCATTTGTTGTTGCTTACAGTGTTGACTTTTTCTGACTTGTTCCTTTGTGATATTTGTCTTACCTGCTCCTAGGGTTGTATGTCTACAGTTTAAGCTTGTCCAGTTCTCCATTCCAGAAAGACAGTAAGTATCTTGGTTTGTTAACCACAATTAGTATGTTCTATTTTGACAATAATACTTCACAGTACAAACTTAATTGTACATGTAAACAGTTATCAGAGTTTCATCCATTCAGAATGAGCAACCAAAGTTGACTGTTCCATTTATACCATAATAATAATAATATCTATCAAAATAATATTTTACTTTCATGTGTTTCTAACATACTAGCAAAAGTATGGTTATTAGGCATTTTTTTTGCTCTTTTTCTTATTGCTGTACAATGCTTATATCAACCATCATAATTTTTGCATTAAATATTTCAAAGCTTTAATTTATTATTATGTTTTCAATAAAAGAAGACAGAATTGGAGTGAAATAGCTTAGAATCTCTCATGGCTAAGCCAGCTTTAAAAAGGGACAATTGACCATCATTTTATTGTACAGTAATGTAAATGTTTCTATGATAGTAGAGCTTTTATAATTTTTGTTAAATGTTTAGAAAACTAATACATACAAATAAATCAATATGATTAAACTAATAAAAATATATATATGAATTTTCATGCCAAATAATATTTCTTACAGCTTTAAACTTTCAATACAAGTTTTCACTTCTAAAGAAATTCTGGGCTACATTCAAATTGATATGCATTATAATGCTGTAAGATCTGGGAAATACAGATTGAAGAATGTCTTAAACACCAAAATTACAATTCATCCAGTCAACATTATTGTAATGTTGAGTAATAACACTATCAAATTCAAAACCATAAAAGAATGAAGTATATTTTCTCACCAGACCATAATTAAGTGAAATATAAGTGTCAATATTATTAACTTCAAACGTGAAAATTAACTTGTTATGAGGGAATGCAGTTAAATCTGCATTATATTCAAGTTGAAATGGATTAACTTTTAGAGTAATGGGATAGGTCCGCTTAACAGGAGTTTTGACACAACACTTATTATAAAGTAGTACTGAATCTCTGATTACCTGAGCCTGATAAAGAAAAGACTGGACACGAGGTAATACACAAAATGTACATTCTTTATTCAAATAAATAATTGTGAGTGTACATGCTGTTATTAAACATAAGATGGTCACTTCTACTGGATGCTTATCAGGCCAAAATCATCTACTAGATCATTTAAATTCAATGTTCCTTAGATGTGACATTTACCCAGAGTGACTGGTGCCACCCACGTGACTGTACATTATTTCCAGAAAGTTACAAAGAATCATGGGCAGCTAAAACAAATTAATTTAATAACTTTCTCAACTGTATGTTAAGTGAAACCTGCATCTATACAACAGAGTAAATTGTGTTGAGAATAATACTGTATCAAAATAGAAAGCTAGAAATATACGGTATATTTGTTTACCACAAACCTATAGATATGTAAATAAACCAATTTAAAAATTCTCACTGATAAAAAGAATAAAAAAAACCTGAAACAAAGAGTTCTTGAGCTTCTGATATATGGACTTAAATGGAGAGTGTGTTCATGTTACTTTAAATTTTTCTACTAATGTGAAACAACCAATTAGATTATTGTGTACTGTGACTTTCTTTTTCAGCAACCACAACAAAGACCCTCACACTTTGCAAATGAGTTAATGTAGTTATTGGCAAATACATTTTATTTATACAACAATGAGGAGTGAAAATGGATATTCAAGTGACGCTTGAAGTATTTTATGTACATGTTTTGGATAAAAGAATAGTTTCAGCAGATGTACACGAGCAGTATTATTATTATTACTTTATTGCATCATGATATAATAATACTTCTTAACCAAAACATTCTTCTCCTTTTTGAATTACATTATATTGTAATATAACTGTATAGATAAAACAAATGACTTGGTTGACTTGAATACTTCTACTCTTTTTTTGATGAAGTGTACACATATGTTGGAGGTATAGGTATTTTACAGCTCAAGCTGTATATAGTTTGTAATAAGAGTGCATATGTTAGGATTATAATGTAAATAGAGGTATATGTATATTTCCTGCACTTGCTAGCAGGTGCTGTACAAGCATACCATCACTGCATTGTACTACTGTTTGATAATGTGTAAAACTTGGAACTCTATGTGTTTAGCAGTTAAGCTGAAACCAAAAATGCAATTTGTCATGATATTCTCATGCTTGAAATGAGCGTAGGTTTGAGTGCAAGATAAATACAATCTAAAAAAGTTTTAAAGTAACCGTAAGTATAAATTTTGTTATTGTAATAGAGGCCTTTTGTTTGCATCACATCCTAAAAACTAAATGGTTTTGTATGTGTGTGTGTGAGTTGTTAAACAAGTTTTTGTTGAAAAATGTAGGCCTTTGGTGAATTATCTGTTTTGAAATATGCTTATAGATCAGCTACTAAGGTTTTATGTTTTTAAATAACTTTTTTATTAAATTAGGTTATTAAAGTTTGAAACTTTAAAAACTAGGCACAAACTAAATACTATGTCAAGCTCATACACTTTTTGTGACAAAACACTAACACAAGAATATGTAGATTTTCTTAATGGTTCACTTTTAATTTCACATTAGCAGGAAAAATAAGATCATAAGTATTCTTCGATGACTCAACACAGACCATTCAGTTCTGAGAAAAAAAGTATAAGCTATAACATGTCATGAACAGTTTGAGTAAATTTTTCATCAAAATAAAAAAACATACACATATAAAAAAAATTACATTGATTCAGAAAATAAAATTTCAGAAAAATGTGTTTATTGGCAAGTTAATCGTATTTGATCATGCTAATACAATTATGAGGAGTCTTTTCTACATTGAATATCTATTAAAATTTCTAAACACTTGAAAGGCATTGATAATAGACTGTATCTGTCTAAAGGACATTTTGAACTGCTAGTGCAGATCTTCATCAGTTCAATGACTTCAATCAAGCTCCTCTCCAAACTTTTCAGATCCAGTTATCACCTCACCTTCCTTCCTTTTCAGATGTAGAAATTTTCAAGTCACTACAGTCTCTTCAACCACAATTTAAAACGTCTTATAAAGTCTTCTTAAAAAGTTCTTGATGCTTCCAGAAAACATGCAAATCACCATTCAATTATTAAACAAAAGAAGAGAAAGTGTATCAGTTCACAACTTATAGAAATCATGACTACTGATGACCAAACTAAAGCTTTAAATCTTGCAGAGAAATCTTTCCTCTCAACCTCAGAATATCAAAAGAAATGACATATTAAGAAATGTGACACTCATTTCAAGAAAGAGAGAAACTCCACAAAGCTTTTCAGATCATCAGTGTAAATTTCAGTTCTAGAACTTAACTTCGGAGAGAGAGAGTTTTTCACTTGGCCACAACTTTACCCCAACCTCCAAAGAAATCCCAGTCACATTCCTAATTGGAAGACCTGATAACAATTTACTCTAACAGCTTGAAACTTTCCTAGACAGATGCAGTCCATTAACAATGTTTCTCAAGTATACCTTCCTCTGTCTGAACCTTCTTTCAAACAAGAACATTGCTAAATGTAACCAACATTGTATTGCCTGTTGATCGTTCTAAGTGATTTGGTGGTCTCTGATCTACATCTTTCAAAAAGACACTCCTTTAGATGTCCCATTGAAAATGACAACTGCTAGTTGGTTTTCTTATTTATCAGCATCAATATGTTCAGAAAATATTTTATAAAGTAACAACATGTACTGTTGTCCTAGTGAACAAAAATATATTCTGTGAAAAGTGAAATGTTAAAACTACTTGGAAATATTTAGTATGCATGCACAAAATGAGTTTTTTTATTGGACGCTGCTAAATAATGCACATGAAAATCAAACTAATGCATAATAGTAAAATGGATGTTATCTGGCCAATATGTCATAATTATATCTTCAGTATGTTCTTCAATAGCCATAGGTGAATGTGTGTGTCAATTCTTGTGAAAATTTGTATTATACATAATATGTAAATGAAGAACACAGTATTATAATGTTCTATCCATTGGATTATTTTGTGATAGATAGGTGACTCATCTTCTGATTGAGAAATATACATAGTTGTTACAAATTCATTTGTTTAAAACTTGGTTGGATAACAAATTGGTGTTTTTTCTCTTTCAACTATTGAAACAGGTAGTTTTTCATAGAAGAATCACAATTTAAAATAGCATACCTTCAGATATTGTTCAGAATGGTAACTTATTTTTATGAGTTATCCTGTTTCATACTTGCAAATATATATATTTGTTTTTGTAGGTGTTATGAATGATAATGTACACATATTTCATATTTATCATATAGTGAGGAAGAAAAAAAAAGTTTTAGGTTTCCTTCTGATACCTTTTATTGTGGATTTTCATGGTTGTAAAGTTTTATCTAATTCTGTTCCCAAAATCTGTGGCTCACTTCATTGTACATCAGTCTTTACAAAGCTTTATTTAACATATAAAAATAGCCGTTCACATTTGAAAAATGTATGAAGGCTGTAAACGGCCACTGCCAAATAGTTGTTGGAAGCTGTTAGTGGGCTGATGCTGTATATCAATTCTTTGTTTACAAAACTGGACAATAAAAGTTAATTTGAATTGATTAGTTGTAATGTTCTTCAATTAAAACAGAGCTTTGCTGACTAAACTTAAACATATTCACAGTGTGCCACTGAACTATGATGACCTCTGATCAGTATGGCAGCCCTTGCAGCCTCAGGTCAGGCATAAAGTGTTTCATCAAATGTAAAATAGGTCACAATCAAGTTTGCTAAAATTCTTTGTTTTGCTAGTCTGAATTTGCTAATAATTAATATCCAATTTTGTATTTTAAACTTCAAAACGTTGATGTAATTTCTCAGTTACAAATATTTGATGTCCATATGAAAAAATATAGTTTCAAAATGTTGTATTACTGAGTGTGTAAAACCGCTAGTCTGGGCCAATTAAAATTAAAGTACCAGAATCATAGCAGTCAACAAGGTCACATGAAGCTATTTGTGTAAACAAACAGTTGATTATTTGACCAATGACATGACAAATAATAACAGGATCTGAATTCAAAAGTATTTATTTCATGGTAAGAATAAAAGGACCAGTAGTGGGCCCAAAACAGTGGGTGTCATGACAGACTTGATGGAGGCTTTAACAAGCCAATGTAAAACTCATTTTAAGGGCACTTTCAAGTATCAGTGTGATGGCACTTGTCAAAGGTGAAGGACTGACAAAAAAAAAAAAAGGTTAAGTACCAAGTTTTAAAATTGTGTCATGGCACTATGTTTTAGATGTGCTTTATAGATATTGTTTATTTATTAACTTTTAATAGATTTAAAAATTTACTGCTTTTGTTTCTGTCATCAGCATTTAAGTATTATAATTAAATGAATGATTAACTTTTAGCAGTTTGTAGAAACTTGTAACCAAAATGTACATTAATTTTACAGAGAAAAAAATTCTGTGTGAAAAGCAGAATCTTGTGTTTTGGATTTATTTACATTTTCTGGTCATTCACGACAGGATTTACATGTATGCATTGTAAGTGTGACTGATATTTTCTGGTCACTCAGGACAGATTCATATTTACATATGTAAGTGTGACTAACTTACTTTGTTATCTGGTTATTTGGAACTGTATTTATTTGCACATTTGTAACTGTGGATAAAAGAATTCTGATGTGTTTTTGTCTTTCAGGACAAATTGTGAGTGCATGTGACCATAATTTTATTAATGTTGGCTGGTCGTTCAGGGCTGGATTTAGGTGTAAATGTGACTGTAACTATTGACGTTTTCTGGTTGTAGGACTAAATTTATAAGTACATATAAAATTGTGACTATAAATTTACTGGTAAGTGGAATTTACTATCAATATATATATATAGTTTTGTCATTTTTCTATAAAATATACATGACTGAAGACATAGGAGACTAACTGGTCACAGTCTAGAATATTGGTGAATTGTTTTAAATTGTAGGTAAAAGAAATTTGTGGCTATTAACAAAAGTTCACTTATTTCATGAACTTATTTATAATGTATTTCATCACTGTGTATTTGTGACTGACATATTTTGTCTGTTAGGTTTGAAACTTACTTGTTAGTAAGTCTTTAGATTTTCTTCATTTTCTACTCTTTTTTTTTTCATTTGTAAAGTAGAAAATTTTTCATGTATAAGTATGTACTTTTTGCCACAAAATTAGAAAAATTAGATAGTTATGATCTATGTTCTATGTACATATAGAGTAAAAAATTGAAAGAAAAGAGTGGAATAAGCTGCAATATTTTAATGCTATACTAAAAATAATTTTCTGTCCAGAGCAGAAAAAGAAAAATGTACACAAAATTACTTAGAAAGTTATTAAGTAAAAGACTAAAAATTAAGTAAAGTCACAGATCTATTTGATTATGGATGGATTCAGAAATAAAGAAAATAGTGATTATGTCATTGACTGACCAGCAACATCTGGTATTAATAGGTGGATTCACGATCAAATATGAAACCATCTGAATCTACCATAGATAATGCAACACACTTTTTTTCATTACATGCAATATAACTTTCTAGAAATTGGTTTTATAATGGTTAATGTTGAAAAAGCTTCAACACCATTTGACATTGAATTGTTGTTTTATAGTGGAAGAAGGTAATCTGTTTCTAGTGAGGTGGAAGGATGAATGAAGTGACATCTGTTCCGTCCTTTGATGGCCACAACCAAGAATTACGTCATCGCAAGTTGTTTTTTAATATTCACATGGAACAAAATGAACTCTTTCCTTCACCACCAGACACTGAAGCACAGAAGAGTAAAGAATCAAGGGATTTAACAGCTGAGGCTCAGGATAAGTACAGTAAGCTTGTGAGTGAGGGAGATGGTTTGAGTCTGGAGTTATTTGACCTTGCAGAATTTGAAGGAGAAAAAGATAATGAACCATTGTTGCACAAAGAATACAGAGTCCAAGAAGTACCAACATATAAACCTTCTGTGCATGTATATACAGACGAACCTGAGTCACTATGGGCAATATCTGTTCAAGTCTTTATACCTTTCTTAATTGCTGGGTTAGGGACAGTTGGAGCTGGACTTGTGTTGGATGCTGTACAAGTATGTTTATAAAACTTTTTACTAATTAGTAAATGTTTATGACCAATAATCTATTGTAAATCAACCATGAATGAGATGAAAGCTATACTGTGTATGTATATGTGTTTTTTTACCAAATCAAATGTGGATACAGTTTTACATTATTTTGTTATTCTAACCATGCAGTTAATTTTAAGTTTGGTTACTTGTATGTTGAGGCCATGATTTAGCCCTACATGTCGAATATGTGTATCTCATCATACAGTATATTACCAAATGTATTGTGATAGCACACTTTGATAAGTGGAGTTCATGTTTTACCACTGGGACCTCATTTTTATGCAGAGTAAGCCAACTTTTAGCATTAATTACAGCTTCGATTCTGGTACTGACACAACAACTATTAGTAGATGTATACTTATAGCAAAGCAGTTCCAAGTTTGGTGATATGTAGGTATTGATAATTTTTTCCCCTTAGGCACAAGTTTGGTGATATGTAGGTATTGATAATTTTTCCCCCTAGGCAGCATTTTATTTGGATTCAGGTTAGAGATGTTGGCTAACTAGTGGCAGTTTCTGGACATTATTTAGTTTAAACCACTGTTGGAGATTGTGCATTATGAAACGGTGTATTATCACGATGAAAGAGTTGTGGTCTTTTTCAATAAATTATATCAATGTCTGCAATGTAGCATTGTACAGAATGCCACAGTATGACAAGGCATTCATGGCTCACTTAAATATTAACAATGGACCAAGTCCAAACAAGCTAAAGTAGGCATAGACCGTGATAATACAGTCTTATAACCATATCCAAGGCATTCTTCAGCTTTCCATCAAACCTAGACCTACCCATAGACAAGAAACAAAAGTAATGGGATTCATAGCTCTACACTGCATTTTTCTTTGGCTATTGTTAACACAAAACACACTGTGAGACACAGTATTTCGCACCCTTTGCTGTGATGGGTGGTTTGTGGGTTGCAGCCTATACTTGAAGATTAGCAACATCATACCTGCCAACTATTCTGATTTGGTCAGAAACATTCTGATTTTTCATCTTTCTCTCTTTCCAATTGAACATTTTTATGTGCTAAATTCCAATGCTTAGTAATTCATTTCTCAACCTTGTATGTCAAAACTATAAGTTAAAAAAAATCTGTCTCTGTTTAATTTGTAAATTGAACTTACAAAATATGATGAATTGAGATAAACAATAGATGCAACCATTTTTTCAATTTGTGTAAATGCTCTTTTGAAATGTTAACACCTGAAATTATTACTGTGAATTTATATGAAACTTAAAGTGTTCTTTGTTCTGAAGATTTGGAGCCATTGTGATTGTCAGAAGGTTATTCGAATTAAAATGCAAATCTGAGGATCAATTTTCAAGTCATAATTATTTTATAATTCATTCTTATTGGTTTTTTTCATCTTCTAATATTACTGGAGTTTAACATCTTAAATAAGCTAGATTTCACCCTTAAAATTCATCAAATATACTTTAATTTTCAAATGTTTTCTTGGAGGGTCTGGCCTCCAGATATCTTTTATCAGAACTTCATGACTTTATCACTTACTTAAATACCATGAAAATTTATTGATTAATTATTTTTCATTTAGAGTGTTGGCAGGTATAAAATGTGGAGCTTCCCACACATATTAAATGTGCTGATCTTCAGTCCTGAGTTTTTTTAACTCTTGGTAGATGGGTGTGATACCAGTCATCTTCTACAGACTGATGAGTAATTAGGTTTGGATGGTCATTAGCCGTCCAAACTTGTACCTTCAGAACTGCATCCAAAGTGAATCCTACTTGAAGATTTGTGAACCGTATTCCTCATATCGTTTTTACTTCAGTCAGATACTAACCTTTGTAAAATCTTGACAGAAGGTATTATTTAGTTCATGTTTAACTTAAGAGGGGGGGCTGGCATTACTAATAAGTTTCATGCCTTTGTATGTAAGCAATAATAATTCAACTTGTTTTCTCTCCAGCATTGGAAAGTCTTTGTGGTGGTGTCTGAGGTATTTATTCTTGTTCCTGCACTACTTGGGCTGAAAGGAAATTTAGAAATGACATTAGCATCCAGATTATCAACTCAGGTTTGTGAAGTTTTTATAGTAGATGCATATGGTATGCATTAAGCATTTCTACTAATCTTAAACATCAGAAGAAATATGAAGTTTCCCTTCATTTAAAAAATGAAAAACTCATTTATAGGATCACAGGTAATTAAACAAACATGATGGCACTATATGCAATTTGTTAGAACTATTTGATACTTAAACTTTTAGACTGCAAATTCTGAGTGATATTAATGCTAGTTCAAGCTAATAATCATATTCCTGTAATTTTATATAATGCTGAATCATATAAATATAGATACAGAAACATTACTTACCTCTCTGCACCATTTAGAGCTATTACCTTGTGTGCAATGCCTGTGGAAGTTTCCTGCACATGTCACATGGTTCCCTTCTGCCTATTTTTTTTCCAGTTCAGGTCCCTTACGATTGCCCCCATTGCTTTCTGTGAAGCCTTCCTTGCCTGTGGATTATTTTGGCCAGCTCTTCCACCTTTAGCCTTTGTTTCTGGCTCTTCCCGTTCTGATAAGGAACAGATACCTCCTTATGCTTATAACTCGGGTATGTGGCTTTTTATCTCTCTCTGCCTGTTTTTCATAATGACGTTTGGGTTGCTTTACTTTGTAGGCCTTCTTTTGTTCCACCTCTTCATTGTTTTTTGTCCTTCTTGTCTTTGTGACTCCTTTACTATGGCTTAAGGTCATGACTCTTCTATAAATTTTTCTACCCCAGTCTCTTGTATTCTTTCTATCAACTTGGGATGCTCCTCTTTTTTTTTCTTTCCTGTAATTTGCTCATCTATGTCTAATCTTCAATCCTTTGCTATGTTTCCATCCATCATCTTGTCATTGTGTCTCTTCATTATGTTCTTATTTGTTTGCCCCCTTTGGCTTTTATTTCTTACTCCAATGCTTCTATTTTGTGTTGGTTTCTCTGTTCTTGGGATCTCCTCAATCTGGATGCTTTTCAGTCAAGTATCTACTTCCCTATCTTTTTCTTTCCTTGACCCAAGTCTTACCCATTTTCTCACTGCACCAATCGTTGGTAGTGTTCTTGATTCCTTGACATCTGAGACTGGATTTGCTCGCCAATAATTTTCCTTGAATTGCCTGGTTTCCTGATTCACTACACTACAAAGATACATCTGTTGACTACTTTACTTTGGGAGTCCCATGGGGCTAACCAACTCTCTTGTTCTGATTGTTGGCTTTGGAACCTGTGATGTCTGCCTCTTTCCCCTTGCATACCTATAGTCTTCCATTGGGTTGTGCAGATTCTTTTTCCATGTCTGTACTTGCTTTTAGTACTTCACCTCCTCATCTCTCCTCTGATCCTTTGAATCTTTGACATCTTCCTAGGGGTTTTCTTGATTCTCATACACAGTAGACTCAATCTTCTCCCTTATGCCCTCATGCCATGGAGATATTAGTATTGACAGCTTTTCACCCTCCTTCTCTTTATGCATATGTCCCCTTCAATGGGCCCAGGAGGATCTGTGATCCCTTATCTGCAGTCCTTGTGCCATTTCATTCATCTCTCCCTCCTGGGGTATTTTATCTCACCTCTCTCCACCCAACTTGCATCTTTACACCAATGCTTTCCTTTCTAGTTGTCGAGGTGGGCAATTATTGACACCTGTGCACTCTCTGGGGTATGGTCTCCAGTAGAGCAATTTCTGCTTATCAACATTCAGCAGCTTTTCAGAATTGTCAAAATCTTCAGTTACAATTGTTGGGTCACCTTATGATGATCCATTTTGACACTTCTGTGGTCATTTCTTGTTTTATCTGCCAGGGAGGCATCCACTTTCGGGACTTATGCTTTACCTGGTTTTTGTCATAGCCTCATCTGTTTCAACGATCAACAGTTACTTTCAGCTGTTCTCTCCTTCTACTCACTTTTGGTAATCATTGTTTGGACACTGTTTGCCTATTCCCATCCTCTATATCATAAGGACTTGTTTATTCTCTGACTACTCCTTTCTTCCAAAGACTTGAACCGTTCAGGAGGGTGATCAGTTGTTTTTCTTCCTCCTGTTTCTTCCTTTATGTGATCATTCCATTCCAGATTGTCTTTTATGTTTAATTAAGGCTGTCCATTTCTATCCTGCTTAGACTAACCAGTTTTGTGGACACTGCCATTGCTTGTTTTTCCCATGGCATACCTCTTCCTCTAAGGACTTATCCCTCCTCACCTTTAACCAGTTGGATTCGTCAGTTCATTTGTCTGACATGTTCCTCTTTGGGTGAGTCCAATTGATTGCTTTTTAACATCACCTCTCACCAGATTAGGCATATTACAGCCTCTCTCTCTTGCCTTATTTTGATGCCAGAAATAGAGATCTTGCAGACTGGTATTTGGATTTCTAAGCATTCATCTCCCATTACTTATATCACTGAGTGGGGCTATGTGCCTCTGGTTTCCTCTTTTCTCTGGTTGCCATTCTCCAGTCTACCCAGAGGCTCTGGTGTGGTGAGTTTTGCTTGTTGGTTTTCTTTTCCAACTTCTTCACTGCCTTAGCCTGATTTCTGTGTCCCTCAAGTATTTCATAATAGCAGCATGTGTGTGCCATTCCTTTCATGCACATTCCAACAAAAAACAATGGAGGCAAAAAAAAACTTCATGTGGAACTAAACACTGTGTTCATTACGTTTTGTGTCAATGGATCCTGCTGATCTGGCAGCATTGCTTCACAGGGAATATTTACCCAAACTCCACATCAGGTGGGAGAGTGTGGAAAGTGTTAAACCCATCCATCTCTGTTCAATGCCTGCCATTGAGATAGGGTTTTCTGCAAGACTGCTTTGGTGGAATATCTGTAGAATTGACATGACTCTTTCTGCACTTTCTACAAAAAATAAACAAACACATACATACAGACAGCACTAAGTGTAGTCTTGGCCTTACACCTTGCTATCTCTTGTTGTTTTTAGTCATAATATAGTAACCCTTTGCACTGTCTCTTGGTGGATACCCAACTCCATATGATTGTTCCTTATGTCAGTGGTCCACACACATTTTCCAGTGTTCACCCCTTTTTTCTCTATGCATACTCCCCCCCTCTCCATTTTTCTAGTGGAATACAAGAGATCCCTTACTACCCCAGTCCTAAGCCACTGAGGGTGTTGATATAAAGAGTTTTCTCAATGAGTTATGGGCCCTCTCAAGATAAGAAACTGGTTGGGCCTGCCTCTCGTTTGTGATATGGAGCTAGGGTGTTTTAGTATGGGACACTCCATTACAGTATGTTCCAAGTAGTTCCTGATGGATATGTCCAGTTGGATAGGTCTTGGATTTGCCTTGGGATGCTCTGCTTCTCTCTATCTGATGTTATTGTTTCTATCTCATAAGCATTTGACCAATACAGAATGGCTTAATATTCTAGCCACACTACATATTCTAACATTCTGCCCACCTGGTGACACATTACCACTAGCACTAAATTTTCTTGATATCCTTTTATCTACTATTTTGATATATTAATAAAATAAATAATTATTGGGTGAAGAGTATTGCTTGTTTGAAAAGGATGTGGCCTCTCATTGATTGCTGTTCCACTAGATGATCCCTGGTCTTGTGGAAGTCACACCACATGGGCTCTCTTTTTCTGTCACTTTTTCAGAAAGGAGTTCATTTTTATAATTGTTATCACCAGTCCCTCCATCATTTTCAGTGTGGGATTCTATCTGTTACTGGTGCAGAGGTAAATAATAATTCTGAGGATTGCATCTTCTTTAACTGAAATGTATTTCAGATAAATAGCTGCCTTTCAGGACCACCTCCCACTCTTCTTCCCTACTTTAAGTGCATTTTGTTTGCCTTGTCAAGAATGAGCCTATGATTGTATGTTGGTGTTTACAGGGATTACTGCACATTGAGTTCATGTTGCCCTCCTACAGCATTATGACAGTTACATCATAAGCTGGTGCAGTACATGTAGACGTGTTGGTGGGAGTTTTTTTTCGAGGCTTGTGGCATGTACTGGAAATTCCATGATAGTTGTATGTGAGGTTATAACTCTTAATGGTGCAGAGTATCTGCATACATTTTCAGATAAGGAAGATTCTAACTTTTAAAATATCACTAATTTTGAATACTGTACACATTTATAAAACAAGTTTAGTGATAATACAGTTTTATAGTTTCCTTTGCATTTACTTTTATTTTAAATATTCTGATTTTTCTTATATATATATTCCTGAATATGTTTTATTAATTGCATAA